AAAACCACCTATGGAGGTTGCTGGGAGTCTGTGGGGCTGGCAGAGGTACCAGCTGCAGACCCAGCACCAGCTCTGGTGCTGGAAGAGTGGCGGTGGCACGGACCATACCACTGGAGCAGATATGGGGGATAGTGCCCACCCTGCAATCCACATGCTGCCCAGGGTCTGGGGGGCTTCTGGGAGGTCTTATGGAGGGTTTCCCCCCCTCACTCAGTATGAGCTCTGTGTGCTGTGGGGCGCCGGGGTGTTGTTTTACTTACTCCTCAGTGTGCACGGGCCCCTGGATGGGACTCCCCTACGGTGCTGGGGCGGGGTGGGGGGGGCTGCAGGTGAATTCTTGCTGCCCTTTGGGTTTTACCCGCTCCCCTGAGCCTGCCTGAGACCCTGCCGCAGCTATGTGGGGGTCTCGTGGGGGTTTCCCTTCCCCCCAGTGCAAGGCTTCCCTTGCAGACTCCACAGAGCAGAGTTGGCATCGCTGCCTGTAATGCAGTCGTGGGGTGGGGAGATTGGTTCCTGCATTTGCATCCACTTTTCCCATCCTGGTGGTATGTTTTGAATAAATAGAAAAATAAAACCTATACAGACAAAGATGCTTATTTTTATTTTCACAGACTCAATATTTCACGGACTTAACATAGCCATTGGATTTATGACACATTACAACCTGCCTGACATCTGATTCACCACCAGGCACCTGCCTGACCCCATCTCTTATGTTCTTCTTTTTCCCCAACCTTTCCTCCCCTCCTCCTATTTGTTCTGCCTTTTGTCTTCCTGATTTCCTTTTTTTTTTTTGCCTGAGAGTCTCTCTCACCTTGCACTATTATCACTATCCTGTTTCCCTTAGGCCTTTTCCCCCCCTGCTTTCCTCCCCCTCTCTTCCCTGTTTTACTGTTGTTTTTTCTAATTTCGACCTATTTTCTTTTCCATGACTTCCTGTCACTCTTTCTGTGTCCCTCTTTGCTCTTTTCCTGTCTCCTACTTATTCATTTTTCACTGACAGATTCTTTCCATCCTTGCAGTCTGTCACTGCTGTCTCTCCTTGGGGCAGCAGTGGCAGGACCCAGCTCGCTGATGAGCCCGGCCCTGCAGGGGTAAGCAGCTCCCCTCCCGTCGCTGCTGGCTGGGGCCCGCGGGTCGGCCCTGCCCGCCTCGCCTCGCCTCACCGCTGCCCCACCATCACGGCTCCGTGCTCCACAGCCGTGGCTCTGTGCTCTGTGGTGGCGCTGCTGGCGGCTCTGTGCTCTGTGGTGGCAGCAGCTCCACGTTCCGCAGCAGCGGCGGTAGCGCCCGGGTCAGATAAAATGACTCTTCAGGCCGCAGGGCGGCCCATGGGCCATATGTTGGACAAGCCTGCTCTAGGTTACCTTACTTTGGGGATAGAGCTTGGAAGACAGACACCACTATTTTCTGTTTCCCTGCTGGCAAATGGTAACAACTGTGGATAGTTCCATGCAAAATATGATTTTTCACATTTTTCAGTGTCTGCCTAAGTTATGATAAAAGCTACTCTGTGTGAGGTGGTCATGCCTTCTGCCAGCTCATTTATTGCAAGGCAGTCACTCTTTTCTCAGGATTCAACAAAACCAGGCCCTTCAATTTGAAATCTTATCCAATACAAGTTCAGGCTGCTCTACGCACTTGATTCAAAGGAAATCAAAAGAAAAGAACCCTTTCAGTTCAGGCCTCAAAGTTTCTTCAGCATCTCTCAGTGACAGTAACCTTCTTCAGGTCTTACTTCTCTCTCAGGAGCTTTTAAATGCGCCTCGCTGGGAATCCACCCAGGAATCTGATTCCCCCTAGCTGTACCTCACTGCCAAGCAGAGCTAGCAGCCATTTTTGGTTCCTTAAAGGGTCCCTGCACCCTGTTGCACACTGTTCATAAATAGTGAATATTTTCATCATTTTTAGCATTGTGTACCTTTGTCCACTGCCATAATATTCTGCCAGTTGGGACTAATTTCTTGATTACATCACATATCTCAGGACTGAATTTTCTACATGGGTGAAAGTATCCAGAGCCAATAATTCCTGAAAAAGAATAAGACACAAGACAAAACTTTAGAATAAATGCAATATATACCTCATTCTTTCCTAAGAAAGAACTGTTATTTTGCAAAACTTTTGGTTCTTTGGAATGTGATATCCATACGGATCTCACTTGTGATGATTATTCACCCATGAGATCCAATCCTTTTTGGCAAATACACTCTTGGGGCTGTGTCTGTACCTCTATCTGGATGCCTGCACACTCCCAGGCATGAAGACATTAAGAGCGAAGCAGATCCAGTTATCCCTCAGATCCAGATATAAGACTCTATAGCAGAGGAGGGAAGAGGATCCACATGGAGAATACAACTTGAAGATCTGCAGTTATTATAAAGTAACTACTTTTTTCTTCTTCAAGCTTTGTTCATATGGATTCCACTTCTTATGACCATAAAAGCAGGAACCTCATAATTCAGGAGGTGGGAATGTAAAGTCCTATTTAAATAGTGATTACAAGACAGGTCTGCAAAAATAGCTGTTAGATCTTGAGGTCTGAGTTAAGGAAATGTAATGGGTAAAAGTGTGGACTGATTCCAAATAAAGTGAAGAAGCTGTCTAAACCCTGGCTTTAACTTGCATGGGGTAGACCTAATCCAGCTAGAGAAGCTCTCAAAGGGTCTTACTGTACCAAGGCAACATACAAGTCAGCCCTCCCCACACTTAGGAGTTGAAATCTGGCTACCCTGTAATTGGAGTAAGACGCAGAAAAGGATGAAATCTGGAGGTACTACTGAACTAAATTTATGTGAGAAGAGAATTAAGTTTATAGCTTACATGGCTTAATTGGCAATACATTTTATATATATAAATAAATAAATAAAAAGATTACCAAAAATTTTGTCTATGGATGCATTGGATGGCAATGTGCAATTAAATATAGAAAACTGCCTCTTCAAACGCTGTGGGATATCATTACGGCCTCCTCCAGGGTGTATCATAGCTGCTGTTAACTGTACATCAACAATTGTTGTAAAGTCTCCAGGTTTATCCAAACTGTACATTCCTTCCATTTCCATCATCTGGCGCACTATTTCATTTGTGATCTATCCAAAAAATCACTAATTACCGTTCCAAAGGAAAATAATGGAAAACAATCACATGCTAATTTCTTTAAATTTTGCTGTATTGGTACTTGCCTCCAAAGAGTCTTTTGTGCTTTAATCTAGACATAGGTCAGAACAGAGATAAGATTTCAAGTTTACATAAGAGATAATACCTTATCCCAGAGGAAAACAACCTTTTTCAAGCCTCAGGCTGAACAATCCAGCTCCAGTCTGATGGGGGATGGGTGGCTTTGGCAATGCATTGATGGCAGAGGCCAGAGCAGTGGGAGGGGAAAGGGGGATGCTTGGTAGCTGCTTCTCCCAGGCCTGCTTGGCTGCAGTGTTAGTGCACCTCCCAGCAGGAGCAGAGCTGTGCTGTACTGGGCTAAGATGGGATTGGGACAGAGGGAGGGGTGGGCAGAAGTGAGAGCGGCAAATTTTAGTTCCCCATCCCATCTATCTATCCATCTAGCTATTCACCAGCAAAAGATCTACACGTTAACTAGAAAAATACTAATGAGTTTGTCTACCATTTTGTGGGAGGTACTGGCAAATAGTTGAATAAAAACAAAGAAATTATTAGTTAAGAAACTATAAGCTGTGGACAGCTATAACTGAAAACTGTTTTAAAAGGTGAAGGGAATGCTATACAGTAGGTCTAATAAAAGATATTACTAGAAACCTTGCTTTTTGCATATTTCCTAGATTATCACTGGTACAAGAAAACTTTAATCCTTCTTCTTAAAAGGGAAGCAAGATTTGCTACTCAAGAGCTTGAATCAACTGTTCCAGACTAACAGTTATATTTAATCAGCCCTTATACTGGTGTGAGCGAGCTAAAGCACTGTAACTTTAAACCTGAATAAAATGGGTTTAAAGTTACAATGGTTTAGTTATTTTTATACCAGTGTAGAAATGAACAGACATAATTGTTATATCACAGCATCTTACACTGGCACAATTTACTACTGGTACAATTGCTACATTTGTCCACACCCCCAGTATTCTCCAACATAATTTTATCTGGATGCATCTACACATGAAATTAAGATGAAACAATAAACTCCAGAGCTGTTCAAACCAAAATAAACTGCTCCTGGGCACAGCATCTACACATAAGCCTGGTACAGCAGTAATTTGAGCTGGGGCGGAACAGGCCCAGGCTGGCAGGGGGTGTGGTAATTCAGCCCTGGGCTCTGGGTGGTGGCATCAGGCAGTGGAGGAGCTGGCTAGGGCATGAGGATCCTGAACCTACAGACTTGTGTGGCTAGGTGGCAAGCAGGAGTCTGGCTCCTGCCTGGTCACTTTCTACATGTGCATTTCAGAGCAGTTAATGACTGCTATAAGACAGTACTGTCCTCAACAGTACTATCTTACAGCAAAGCTAATTAGTTTACTGCACCCTGATACCAGTGTACGTGTAGGAAGTGATGTTTTACTGCAGTCTAGTTGGCACTAAAACACATGTGTAGATGCACCCACAGATGGAGAAATCAGGTTGCTGCTGACCTCAGTGAATGTGTTCTAATGTCTTTTGGAGCTAGTATTCCTAAAGACCTATCTTTTTCCAAAACGTTTTTTATGTACCAAATAATGAAAACTTGGATGATTTCTGCCCTTTGCTTTTTCAGTTGAAAGAAGCAAATAATGTTGTATGTCTTTCTTAAGAAGAAATGTCCAAGAGAAAGAGATTCTGCATGGTCTTTAATCATTTAATGCATGCAATACATTTTCCCATTGTGTGAATTGGCTTTGGACAAACAAGCAGACAAATGTCTTGGGACATGTAGAATGGAAATAAATATTTTAAAATAAATATTTAAGCAGTGTTAAGAACTTTTATGTCTGCCTACAAGACACAGATGGCTCTTCCATAGATAACACAGAATAAAATTTAAGCTTTCTCTAAAACAGTGCTAAGTGACAGTTACTGTCAATTTAATCTCACACAGAAAGTTAATAACATGTTCTTTTGAGAATTATGCTGCTTTCATATGGTCTTATAAAATATGAAATAACGTAAAATAATGTACAAAATAGTACTTCTAAATCTGAAATATATCTCTGAGATGTCTAATCTGTTCCCTTTTTACTTCATAAACATATCATTATTATATGACTTTTCCAGAATTTATTTATAAACAAAAATACTGCATAGTAAAAAAGGATAAAATCTTTCCTGTATGTAAAAAAAAAAAGGTTTGAATTATGGTATTTAACACAAATAATTAAATCTGAAGTTACTTTAGAATATATTTAGTAATATATTAAAATATTAAATTTTGAATGATACCTGATCACCCCATTCATTAATTATTGGCATATTAATATCATCAACAAATACAGTCATTTTTCTGCCTCCTGGTGGTCCATAAGTACTGCCCATGCGTTTGTCCACATAACTCTCTATCGCCCTCTATAAAATAAAGGTTCTCATTTAGTGTCTATGCTGTGAATATAATTTTAAAATATTTTGTATTTACTTCTATTTATTTTTCACTCTGCTTCTTGTTCCCTTGAGATAAATGAAATTTTCTACCAGATAATTTTCTTTTGTTAACAGCTTCTCTCCCAATTCTTCATGAATGGACTGTGCCTATCCCTGTTATTATTAGTGGATTCAGGATTAAGTCCTGAAGTTCATTTCAGCCAGCAGATAAGTTCTTCTAAAGTTGAAGAAACAACTCTACAGCAAATTATTAGCAATAAACCCACAGTTAATGATAAGTTGTATGACTTTTTAGAATAAACAGGTTGTTAAATGACTGAAATGTAATTCATTATAAACTACCACAGCTGGCAAGATGAAGTAAGAAGTGGTTAAAAGAAAGACAATTATCAGATAACAATTTGACAACTGACAATTTAGTAAAGTAGGCCCGGTTTCATTGGTAAAGGCAGTAGAACTTTAATGCTAGTCTTCTTACTTATTTCACATGCATTTTCACAGACCTGCATTTTGCATATTGGCTTCTATTCTATACAGGAGAGCACACGACACACCAGCAGACTCCCTGTGCCTGAAGAAAGATGTTTCTGCCCAAAAGCTTGCAAAGAACATTTTTTCCAACTATTTAGCTGGTATAGTAAAAGATACCACATTTACCCAAAGAACCATGTCTGCCTAGTCTCCTTAACCAGCATAGAATTAGAACTATCATCTTTTCTTCTTCTCACATTATCTTCTGGGTGAGTCTTCCAAAATGTGGGAGAGGTGAGCATGTGTTAAGCAAGCCTTCTGGCTATCTGTTTGAGACAGCATCCATTGCCAGTAACATGGAAGTTGTTTTTCTGGTGAAATAATTTGGTCATTGTGTGCAACTGAAACTGGCAAATTGATGCTTGTTGGGAGGTCAAATGTATGAGAAGTCATAAAGAATACTTAGGATCAAATCCTATATCACCATGACACACCTAGGTAGCACTTACATAATTATGTAAGTGCAATTTTTTCAACTTAGAGTATAAATTCTGTTTCCACTTGGACCTACCTTGATCCACCAGGCTTCAGGTCTGCAACTAAAATGCTCCATTCCTTATTGGCACCCACTGTGGCCTACCCCCACCAGTCTTGTTAGGGCTCTCCTATGCTCGCTCCCCTTGACCAATGAATGTGATTACCCCTGATGGGACTCTGGCACCTTTGTAGGGCCAACTTTATTGCTTTAGCTCCAAGAAACTAATGCTCTGTTACTTTCCAATGAAATTACATATGTTTTGCTCTGGTTTCTCAAAGGATGGGCTGACATTTGTTCTGAGTTTTTGTTTTGCAGAAGCCGAGTTTTAATTCCCTTAGAGCACCTGGAAATCTGCCATTTGTAATTCTTAACTTGGTTCTTGCATAGTTTGTGTGCAGCTATTATTGCAGTCTGCTAGAGAAGTGCCACCCCAGAGGTCCCAAATGATTAGACCTTTAAAGTTTCAGTGATTCCTCATTTGACAGATAATATTAAAAATGAATAAAAATTAAACCTATAAAATGAACTATTTGGAAACTGATTCAACCAATCTTTTCCCTAGGCAAAAGTTTCTCATGGTGTGAAGTAAAGTGTGAAACAGTCCTAGAATCCCTACAAAAAATACTGAATCATCTCAGAGATCCATGAAAACAGGACACAGCCCATTTGTGAAGAATGAATGAATTTGCGCACCTCTGAACTATTTACTGTACCTTATTTTAAATCGGAAAAGTATTTTGGCAGAGGATTTTCAAGAATGACTAAATGACGTGGGAGAACAAGATCCCTTGACTTGCATAGGAACTTGCAGTCTTAACTCACTAAGGATATTTTAAGAAAATGTTAACCTATATTAACAAAATGAGGTACTTTCCAAATAGTTACATGAGCAAAAATGCATAAGTATTGCATAAATATAAGCTTTTACCTGAAACATAAATGGCTCTGTGGCAGAGGAAAAGTTTAAACATTTCGACAAATGTTGTTCAGGGTCATATTTTTTCAAATAAGCTTTAATCATTACAGATTTTGCAGTTCCTTGTTCTCCAGTGAGCAAAACTGCCTGTAATAAACATTTAAAAAAAACTCATGACAGAGCATTGCAGAAATATTTTAAAGCACTTGGTATTAAAAAATAAAATATTTATCTAGTTATTCATGCATTATACTTATAGGATTCCTATACCACTATAAAGACTATGAGGGTTTACCATCCCTTCCAGATTCCCCAACACAAATTACTGAAGATGGGAGGCCAAAAGGGGTAAAATAAAAAGAAAAGGTATGGGAGGTTCCACAATTTTTTTTCTCGCAATTTCTGTGCATCACATCTTTCCTGAAACAATCACTTCAATAGCTTCCTTAAAGTGTACCATTTGAGCTATTAAAACTGCATGTGGTGAGGACATTATTGGACCATCAAATGCAGTTTCTGACACATGATTTCAATGTAAAATTTCTTACCCAATAATTTCCTTTCTACTACCATTGTCTCCCATAATTTTGCCACAAAGAGCTTCCCCCTTCCTCTGAAATTTCTTAGAAGAGTTTCTGCATTGTAACATGGTATGCCAGGGCACTGTTTGTGCCCGCCACTTTAAGACCACAGCCAAGCAGCCAGCAGGTGCTTGATTGCGGCAGCCATTTTGACCCTGGCTGACTATATAAATAGTTCAGTTCCCTGCTGGCTGGTCAGGCAGCAATACTGCCTAGCTGGGAGGCTTCTTGGAACATCCTGGAGGTAAGGGAGGAGCTGTAGGGGATGGCTAGGAGGCTCCTGGTCCTGGTCCTGGGCATGACCTAAAACTGCACCCTGCTGGGAGTGGGTGGCCTGGTGGGTCTCTCAGTGGCAAAGGAGCCCCCAGGAAATGCCAGGCCACTTACCACCCCGGTGAAAGGCGGGTTGGGGCACCTTAACCCTAGCCCCCACAACCAGGTGGGTTGCCTGCTACTAGGGCCCAGAGGGCAGACCCCAGGGGAGACAGTGGGGCTAGAGATTCAGACCTGATTGAGAGAGTACCCTCAACTGGTCAATGCTGGGGCCAGGGCCAGGACAGTCAAAAGGGCCAGGGGCCCACTGCAAGGGATGCCCAGAGCTAAGAGGGCCTGGGGTTTCTGACTGGCCTTGGAGGTGAGGCCTGGGCCTGTGTGGCCAAAGGTCCCAAGGGGACCACACCCAAGAGGGGAAAATAGTTTCAAGGAGCTAGATAGCCTGAATGAAGGTGGGGTAGGCTGCCTGAATGGAGAGATCTTGGAGGGGTCCTGACAGGAGGATTCCAGTGGCCCAGTGTGGGGCTAGTAAGAGTAACAGCTGGATGCCATCTGCAAGGCATAGACTGCGGTGTAGGGGAGGTACGGAGCTGCAGATAGCGCCCCCTGGCATTGGGCCAGGAAAATTGGCAGCCTCCTGCCTAATTAAGATAATTAATTAACAACAAGGCATGGCAGGTGGGAAGGCGGGCAGTTGGCCCAGAAACAGGTGGGTGGGCCAAAGGTAAATCAGCCCTGATTAGACACCCCTGTTACACATGGGCTGGGGCCTGGACAGGTGGAATGCCTACACATGCAATTAGTGCACATGAATAAACTGCTCCAGAGTTTTTTGCTCTCCAGTTGCACTGTTTGAATGTGCACCTGGAAGCAATTAGTTCTAGAGCAGTCAACTCTGAAATATATTCAAATGCAGCATGTGGAGCCCAGTTGCAGCAGCCCCAGCTGGCAGGCGGCTCCAGGGGTCAGACTGCTAGGCCAGAGCTGCTCTGACCAGACTCAATGTGCTGTGCAGGGGCTGGCTGTCTGGGGCACAAGGGTGTTTCAGTGTAGGGGATAGCCAGCAGGTAGTCCCCACAACGAGGCACCATCGTGCCCCAGCCAGCCAGGTCAGCATCTACACATATGCTGTTGTGCACAAAAACTCTGCAGCACAGCAGTACTTGCATTTACAAGTACTACCCTGCTGCAGAGTTTATTTGTTTCCTGCACTCTAAGAGAGGTGCATGTATAGACACTGAGATGTTTACTGCAGAGTTAATAAGTCAGTTCTACAGGAAATGTCTCATGTAGTACACCCATCTACACTCAAGCTACCCTCTAGAAAAGACAGTTTAAAGGTGTGATGAAACTCAAAGTAAATGATTAGTAATCTTAACAGCAATTAACAAACTATGTACTTTTGGGTTATCTGGCCCATAAGCCTGTAGGCATAGAAATAAATGTTAATCTCTTGTCTATGCTCTGGGGGTCATATTAAGAGGGCAGAACTACAAAATATGCTATTGACAGAAAATTATCAGGTAAGGAATTTTTTATTCCACAAGCTATTGTTTCCTACAATTTTATGTTGCCTAAGAACTAGCAAATAGAAAAATATAGGGAAAAAGAAACAAACTAAAGCTTTTTCTTTTTTTAAATTTCTTGTTAGTAAATACATATGCTTTCACAATACTGAATTTAATCCATCTGGCCATGAATAGTTAAGGTGTCCAAAGATCTTGCCACTTCAAATGAAAAGAAACAAAGAGCATGATTTTTTTTTTTCCGGTTTGGTATGTCCAAAATAGATCTTTAGAACTGGACATGCCTCCAGATTATACCATTATTTTTAAGCAGGATGTTTTTTCAGCAAAATGTTGTGGATTTGGACAGGATGATGGAGGGATTTATTTTTGTGAAGCATGCAAAGTGGAAATTCACTTTTGGTAAGACAAAAGTCTTAGAACTATATTGGAATTATGGGGCATGCGATGTGGGTCCTTCAAAGACACAGCTTGACAGAGTCCATGATTCTAGCTCAGTTAGGCAACCTAGGTAGACAACCTTTTCTAGCTGGGGGCAGGAATGACCCACCCCAGGTCAGAGGCAGGTAGTGGCTGAGTTTTAGTTCTCATCCACCAACTACCAAGTCTTCCTATGGCAGCTTCAGGAGAGCATGCACAGTTGGCGCTTGTCCCCATGGCAGCATGGGGAGAGAGCCTGCAGCTGAAACCCCCACTACTGAAGCCCCATGTCCGCTAGCCAGATGCAATGTTTCAGTGACCCAGACCTGGCCCCTGCTCTAGTTGAGATTATGATTAATAAGAGGGTATAGATAAAATGGTGCAACCCTTGCTACAGTTCAAAGCAAAAGGAGGTGCTTGTACATGTGACAAAAATAGCCCATTTTTGCAGTTTAATTGCATCACATTGTACACAATGTGGGGTATTTTTTACGACTTAAATGAGTTTATGTTGCAAACTAAACCATATCCATACGTAGTTTACTTTGTAACATAGATATTTATAAAGTTGCAGCCTTTTGAAAGCTCCCCCAACACCCCCCTCCGCTGCAGGAGAGGCAGGCCGAAGGCAGAAGTGGTGGGGGGGGTGGGGCTTCCCCCCCCCCCCCCCCCCCCAATGGAGCCTGCCTGCATCTCCCACAGCCTGGGGTTGAGCTGCTGATGGGCTGAGCAACCCTTGACCTGCGGGGGACCCTGGTCCTTCCCTTCACTGTGGCAGTACCCCCTGGGGCCACCGAGGCAAGCTGCTAGTATGCCAGATGCTGCCCAGCTCAGGCTCGGGGAAGAGTTGGATTGGACTGGATGCTGTCTTCAAGCTAGGGAAGTACCTGCTCACTAGCCACCCACCTGGGCAGTCCTGGGACATGCAGCCACCACAGAGGGAAGGACTGGGACCCCCCCGCAGCTCGGGGCCTGCCAGTAGCTCACCCCCTGGCCACGGGAGAGGCAGGCAAGCTCCACAAAAAGGATCAGGCCCCTTGCTGTTTTTTTTTTTTTTGTTTTCCCAACAGAGCCTACCCACATGACCTGCCAGTGGGCTGCATACTGCCTGAGCTGTGAGGGGCCCCAGTCCTTCCCTCTGCAGTGGCGGTGCCCCCCAGGGCTGCCTGGGCAGGGTGCTAGTGGGCAGGTGCTGCCCCATCTCAGAGGCAACACCTGCCAGATCCAACTCTTCCCCTGAAGAGTTGGATCTGGCAGGGTACTGCTTCCAAGTTGGGGCAGCACCCCTCTGCTAGCATCCCACCTGGGTGGCCCCAAAGGTCACTGCCACTGCAGAGGGAAGGACCACGGCCCCCGCAGCTCAGAGTCCACTCAGCCCACCAGCAGCTTGCCCACAGTGTGGGAGATGTGGACAGGCTCTGCGAAAAATAAAAAATAATAATTGGAAAAAAAAAAGGATAGAACCCCTTTCCATAACAGCGATGGAAGCCCCTAAATTATCACAATTAAAATCCCACCTAAACGTTTCAATTTAGGTGACTAAACCCCCTGATCAGGCTTTTCTCCACTGAAGTCTGCCTCCACAGGATGAGTTGTCCCACCATACTGGTCTCACTCGGAGTACTGTGCTCTGTGTAGGTTAATTGACTATGCTCTGTAAATTGTACCTCATGTATAAAATACTGTCATGGCACAGGGTCCCTGGGGATAGCCATGATGCCAAAAGGGCTCTGTGATCATGTCAATTCTGCCCCTGCAGGCACCTTCTTTTCTTTCCTGCCATGTCTTGTTAGTATAAATAACAAATAGGGAGGCTGCCCATGAGTTTCTGCATGGTGACAGTCCTGTTGGACCCTACTAAACCCTGCGGGATCTTGGACCCTGTGAGGAGAGAGAAGAGCCTCAGAGAAGTAAATTGGTCCCACTTGAATTGCAAAGAACTCCACAGGGCTCATTCTTCACCTGGTGTTTCAGGAGGGGAGGAGTAGTCAGCCGGAACTCCAGGATAAAAGGAGACCTGGGGCAGGCAAAAAAGGGCACCAGAAACCGGAAGTGGCTGACTCAGGCACAGAGACAGCAAGAATAGCTGAAGGCACTGAGAAAGCAATGGGTTTAAGAGAAGCAGCTCTGTGGAGGGAGCTGCTAGGGGAGAGAACCCTGAAGGAAATGCCCAGAGAGAAACTGAAACTGCCGCGGGGCAGTTAGAAGGTACCCTAAAGACCCTAATAGCAGGGCTGAAGAAAAAGGGTACCATAAAGTTGGGAATATAAGGGCAGGAGAAGTGTCAGTTTGTTTTCATCCTCCTTTTCATTGGAGTGAGAGGGAAGTCATCCCAGACAGATAATGTGTTTGCAACTATCGGGACAATAGGCCAGTAAAAGAACTGGCTAGGATTAATGGCAGATCTGTGCAAGGCTTCAAGCTGGGTGAAGTACAACCCAAACCTAGAGACCCACAGAGCATTTGTACTGCTCAGAGGCAGATTGCCGATTCTACTGAATTAACACCTGGTGGAACAGGTGAGAGTGTAGGGGTTGGTAGAGCCCTCACTACACTAAGACAGATTTCAAGAGCGAAAGCGTTAAAGGCCACATGCCCCAGCATTCTATTTTCTCCCGTAACAACAAGTCATGGCAGATGAGATTGTGGACATGTGGGACAGTCCAGCAAGACGTCGCGGTGGGCTTTGGCCTGCCTAGCCAAGGTGCTAAAACTGTCTTGGTGCAGAAGACAGAGTAAGAGAGTAGGAAAAAAAGAGAAAACCACTCAGACAAGGCAAGGAGCACCAGAGATTGACAAAAAAACATAGAATGATAGAGACAAGCCTCTACCCCAGATAGGGGCAGGGTTTTGGGGTGAATGCCCGCCACTGGACAGACCCCTTGCTGGGTCTCACCGTAAGCTAGTGTCTCATGGAACACTCCAAGCCTTATGGGCTAGATTCATGGCTCCAAAACCTCCCCTTTAGTACACCCCATACCTCTCAGGTGCTATATAAATATGGTCTCACTGATAAGGTTTCATTTGGGCCCCTGTAACTGCACCCTTCTGGTGCCAAGCTCTGCGGGCCCTGCAACTGCACCCCTCTAGCGCTGGGCCCTCTGCAGCTCTATAGCTGCACCCTCTCTGGTGCTGGGTCTCTAACACGTCAATGTGTGCCCCAATGAGGCCTCCTCCCCTATTAGCCTCTTTCCAGTCTACCGGTATAAAGGACAACAGAAAAACAAGCCCCTAGGCTACAACTTGACAATAATAATGGAGGCCACATTCCCTGGGCTACAACATAACAATAAGAATGGGGGCCACACTCCAGCCCTTTATGAAGGTAAACTTCTCTCTTATTATTGTGTGCCTCTTGGCCCCAGGTATCTTATGAGCTCCATTAATCTTGCAGGCAGCAGATCAGGCCATTGGATGTCCTTAAGTGGTTCTTCCCTGCAAAAGCTCCTTCCCTTGGTGACTGCCAGGGAACTAACTCCAGCCAGCCCCTGCCCTGGGGCTTGTGTGCACAGAGCCCTGCCTCCTTCCAGTCAGCTGACTGGGTACAGGTGCCAGCTAATTCCCTAATTAGCCTGCTGCAACCTGCAGCTGTGGAGCTCTGCCTCAGCTCGCAGGGCTCTCTAGCCCAGCTGTTTCTGTTCTTAAAGAAACAGCCTTAGTGCCTGCAACAAATACCATTTTAGTTTACCCAGGTCTGTGGGAGGTTAGTTCTACTATGCCACAGGTGAAGTATTGTAGTCAGAGACAGGTGTCTAAGTCACCATGTTACAATGTTCCAATCCACAGAGATTTAAAATTGCTCTTTGCTGCATTAAATTGTAATAAAAAACAAAAGTTAGTGAAGAGAAGGGTTAGGAACAAAGCAACCTGTCACTAACTGCAGGTGACAGGGTATTTTTAAAGGATGATGCTTAGCTTTCAAATCTAGATTTCCTATTCATGCAGGGGGGCATGAATCAGTTGATATTCAAGGAGTATTGTAAAGACTTCCATGAACCCTTTTCCAGACGGGGAAAAAGGCAGGGATTATTTAGGTTATGCTTAACAGATTTTTGTATTAAGATCTTACTCAAATGATTTGTTATTGATGTTAAGAATGGGCATTACTTTTAAATGTTTTTATATGGATCCAGAGTTAATTGCGAGAGTCCTATGCTTATAAAAAGTAAATAAACCAATAGGCTCAACCTGCCAAAATGTGATTGGAGACAGAGAAAATACAGAGAACTTATTTCCAAGTTTTAGCCTCTTTACTTTATATATTAGCTGCAATATTAAATATAAAACCACGCACTTACTTTGTGTTGCTTTGCAATTGTGTCAATCAAAAATTGAGTTCTCACATTGTCAACATTTGGAACCAAAATAGATGCATATTCTGGGACACTGTCTGTTGGATAAACGTATTCTTGAACTCTTTTACTCCAGTGTTCCCAGTCACCTAAAAAGCAACAAAAGGGAAAAAGTTTTGCCTCATACTTTCCTGTATGAACCTAGTACTTTCACTAGTCCAAATACTGTTTTCCCATTTGCTGTGAGCCCCAGGACAGCTCAGCCACAGGTGACTCACAGCAGAAACTGTTATCTTGGAAGTCAGACAGTCAGATTTGGAGAGAAGTCCTTCCTTTCTCTGCTTCCTAGCACAAAGAAAAAGGAAGGTGGTAGGGGAGGGGGAGGAGGAAGTGGGGGGTCACACTTATTCCACTTTCATATTATAAAGAAAAAGGAACTGGAGAATTATATCAACTCTTTCTTAGTGTATCCTGAATTATCATGGAAAAAGGAGTCACTTTTAAGAAGCTAAATTTTGACACTTCCTCTTATATTGTTAGGATGACAGAATGCCACTGGGGTTGGATAGTCACTTAGTTGTTCGAGCTTTTCTGTTTGTTGCAAATCCTCAGATAGATGGGTATACAATCTTATAGAATGATTTCTGGAAAAAACTTATATTTTCAGGCAATAGAAAATCTATTTCAGAAAATAGATGTAGCTATGGCATATACAGATGGGTAAAGCAACCAAGAACCATAATTTTTTTGTGAAAGTGACCATTTTATTGAAACTATAAAAATATTGTGGAAATGGCTATATGCATTCGTTTTCATAGATTTCATAGACATTAGGGCTGGAAGGGACCTCACAAGATCATTGGGTCCAGCCCCCTGCCCAAGGGACAGGAAGTCAGTTGGGGTCAAATGATCCCAGTAAGATTGGCATCTAAGAGTTTCTTAAACATGTCCAGCATAGGTGCTTGCGTCACCTCTGGGGGGAGTCTATTCCAGGCTCTGGGGACTCAGACAGTAAAGAAGTTTCTTCTTATGTCCAGCCTAAAATGGTCTTCCAGGAGTTTGTAACGGTTAGACCATGTCTTCCCTTGGGTGCCCTGGTGAACAGATGTTCTCCCAGTTCCTGATGTACACCCCTTTATATACTTATAGGCTGCCACCAAGTCCCCTCCCTGTGCCTTCGCTTCTCCAGGCTGTAGAGTCCCATTGCTCTCAGCCTCTCCTAAGGCCTGCTCTCTTGTCCTCTAATTATGCATGTGGCTCTTCTCTGGACTCTCAAGCTTCACCATATCCTTCCTGAAGTGCAGAGCCCAGAACTGGATGCATTCCAGCTGCAGCCTCACCAAGGCTGAGTAAAGTGGGAGGATGACTTATTGGGTCTGGCTTGAGATGCATCAGTAGATGCAAACCAGGGTTTTGTTTGCATTATCAGCTGCGGCATGACATTGGTGGCTCATGTTCATCTCGTGGTCAATCGTGACCCCCAAGTCTCTTTTGGTTGTGGTGCTAGTGAGTGTAGCACTGCTGAGCCTATAAGTATGGTGTGGATTCCACCCCCGCCCCCCGAGGTGGAGCACCTTGCATTTCTCCGTGTTAAATGCCATCAAGTTTAGATCTGCCCACCTTGCGAGCCTATCCAGGCCTCCAGTGCAGGGGTTGTCAACTGTGGGTACACATACCCCCAGGGATACTTGGAAAGGCCCTAGGAGGTATGCATAGGCAGGTGGGAATGGAGCGCCGCCGCCCACCACCCTGCACTGCCGCCTTCCAGAAGCAGTGTTGGGGGTGGTGAGGGCAGCAGTGCCCCTCTGTGGGCTGCACAGGATCTGCCTGGATAGCTGGATGCAGGAGGGAGGGAGGGAACTTGCATGCGGTGGCTGCCGCCACCATCCACCACCCCGCGCTGCCACTGCATCACATCCAGCTGCCAAGGGTACATTTATTTAAAAAGGTTGAAAACCCCTGCTCTAGTGTGACCACGCTTCATCATAATTTGGTGTCATTAGTGAACTTAGCCAGTCTACTTCTGATACCTGAATCCAGATAATTTATAAATACATTAAAGAGTACTGATCCAAGTACTGTCCTGGGGGACATCATTGGTCACCATGTGCCATGCAGATATGGTTCCATTGATTATTACTCTCTGGGTCCAACCACAGAGCCAGTTCCCCAGCCATCAGACCATAAGGCTGTCGAGGCCTCAGTTCCCCAGTTGTTTTTTTTTAATGCAGATATATAATATCGACTTCTTCTCCCTTGTCCAGGTAATGCGTCACCTGATCATAGAAGGAAATAAGGTTGGTCAGGCAAGATCTACCTGCAATGAAGCCATGTTGGCAACATCTCTCAGAATGTTGCCTTCCATTAGCCTGTTGTTAATGGTTTCTTTGACGATTTTTTCCAAAATCTTACCAGGGATTCAGGTCAAACTGATTGGCCTATAGTTCCCTGGGTCTTTCTTCTTCCCTTTCTTGAAGATAGGCACCACATTGGCCCTCTTCCAATCTCCATGAACCTCTCTTGAGTGCCACAAGTTCTCAAATATCCTCAGCATGGGCTGCGCTATGATGTCAGCCAGTTTCTTTAGCACTCTTTGGTACATTCCATCTGGGCCAACTGATTTGTACCTCTCAAGGTGTTGCCTCACAAGATCTTCACCAATGATGGGCATATGTTTGCCCATACCCTGGCAATCCTGCATCTTGTTAGGCAGGGTGATCCCCTTAGGCTGGCAGAAGACTGACACAAAGTAATCATTAAGGAGATGAGCTTTTTCCAGGGTGTCAGTTGTCCCCATTTGGTTTAGCAAGGGTCCAATGTTGCTCTTGTTTTTCTTCTGATTACCTACGTATCTGAAGAAGGACTTTTTATTGTCCTTGATTTCTGTAGCCAGTTTGAGTTTGCCTTAGCTTTCCCAGTTTGCTCCCTACAGGTGAGGCCCAGTGCTGAATATTCCTCCTTGGTGATGTTACCTGACTTCCATCCTTTATAGGCTTCTCTTTTAAGATACAGGAGGTCCATGAGTTCTCTATTTAACCAAGGCGGTCGCCCAAGCCTTTTGCTACCTTTCCTACAGGCTGGGATGGACTTCCCTTTGTGCTTTAAGGATTGTGTCCTTAAGGAGCAACCACTCATCATACACTCCGCCCTCTTTCAGATAATGGCCTCTGAGGGCCCTGGCAACCAGCCTCCTGAATTTGTGGAAGTTGGCTTTCCTGAAGTGGAGAATTTCTGCATTTCTGGTTGATTTGCCAGCTTTGTGATGGATAGAGAAAGTGATCAACTCATGATCACTGTCTCCCAGCTTCTCTTTGATTTTCAGGTCACTCACTAGATCATCCCCTTTGGCCAGTACCAGATCCAGCAACGCCTTGCCTCGTTGGTCAGTAGACTTCTTGAGACAAGTAAAGTTTGTCAGTGCAAGTGGGGAAGCTTCACAACCAATCAGGTTTGCCAGAATACTCTTCCCATGAGATGTCAGGGTAGTTGAAGTCACCCATGGCAACTACACAATGAGAGCGTGCCGCTTCTGCCAGTTCCCTAGTGAATTCGTAGTCAAGATCTTCCTCTGAGTTAGAAGGTCTGTAATAGACTCCTACTGTTATATCCCCTTCACCACCTTTCCCAAACAAATACTATCTATTCCAAACCATGTTGTTGGAGCTTATCAAATAAAATAATAATAATATATTATTAAGAGAAAACTGAGACAGTTTATAGCAAGAAAAAAAAATCATGACAAAATACTTTAAAGTTGAAAATAAAGTACCAAATAAAAGTAAAATTAAAGTTGAAAAAACATTCATGAAAATTCTCTAATTTATAGACTGTTCAAGGGCACTCAACAGAAAGACGTCATGAGAAATAAATTAAAAACAAAAGGGATAAAAACTTTTACTAATAATATTAAACCCTCCCCTAAAATCCCTTTAGTGCTTAAATCATTTTTCTAGAGGTATCATCCAAGGTATAATATTCAGATCCCATAAAACTAGTGCATTGCTAGGTTACTGGCAAGAAGGAAAATGGTAACCAGGAAACAAGATAGTATAGAAATGCAGTCCATTTTTTTTTATTTGTAAGCTACATATTTATTTAGAAAAATAACCAAATATCAAAAAAGAATTCCAGTGTGTTTTCTCTTACCATAATCAGTAACATAAAACTCATACATTGTTTGATTGGTTTCTACAGGGATTTCTGGCAAATCTAATTTGTTATCATTAGCTCTAATGAAGGCTTCAAGTTTATCCCTGCTATCCAGTTCCAGAAGGGCACCTAAACTCCACATCAGCCCAAAGCTGAACAATTTATGAAGATGGAATACAGTTGAAATACCGCCTTCTTCCTTTGAGGGAATCAAACCCTCCAAAAGATGAATAGACTGAAAATAATAATAAAAAGAGCATTAAGAAAACACTATACCATTTTTTACCTTCAAATATATCCAAACATAAAACACAGATTCTGAAAAGCAATCTAAGTTGATAAACACAAGGAAAAATAGCAAAAAATAAGTAAAGCCACAGTAAAACTACCAACATTTTTTGTGCTTATATGAGTTTGGAATCCAACTCTCATTTTCCAAAGTAATTTGGGCATTTAGAACCCCTTCTTATTAGAAATCAATGGTCCAAATATTTAAAGATATTTAAGTGCATAAAAAATACTTACCTGCTGGGATTTTCCAATTTACCTAGGTACCTAACACCTATCAGAAACAATGAAAAGGTAAGGGCCAGACTGTATGTGAACTTTAAGTGCCCTAAATTGGACTTAAATGGAATGTAGCCAATTAATTCACTAAAATAAATCTCTTTATTCCTACTAGACATTTAAGCCTATATAATCACTTGGTCAAGGAATAAGTGTCTTGCCTCAGAACACCAAGTATGTTCTATGCAGGTAGATCCACCTCTCTCAAATGCCATGTACAGGAATTATATTTGTGCCAGGAGAAAAGCCTTTCAAATGCTTTCTTGAAGAAGAAAAATGGCTCTTCTGCAAGAAATGTCTACCTCTTCCAATCAGGCAGATCACTTTCTCGTTTCTAGAACTAACTGGATTGGCTGTACAATTCTCTTGAGTGTTGAGGACACCCAGTATCCTGCAGTCCTCTGCTTTCCCTCCCTTTCTCTAAGGTGGAGCGAGGAAGAATACTGGCTCTATGACCGCCCACCCCGGAGGGAGCTGTCAGGGTCCCCTATAAGGACCTTGCCCTTGTCTCAACAATCAACTAATTAGCAGGAAAAGGGGGACTATTATCCTGAGGCAGAAACCCACCCAGAGTCTTAAGGGGGTTTCTACCAGGGTAGAAGAGCCCCAACCTGGTGCACTCCTCTAGTTATACCCAGAGCAGTGCAGTGGTGGGAAGGCAGATGTGCCTGGGGCTGGAGCACTCCTGGAGCCCTGGTAGGGTTCCAAGAAGAATATCACCCCCCTACCTATCTTGGCAATCAGTTGATTGGCCAAATGGGGGGGCAGGGGGGCATTGTCCTGCAGCAGGAACCCTCCTGGAGTTCTGTGAGGGTTTCCACCATGGCAGAAGAGCCCCTGCCAAGTGCATCCCTTCAGTTCCACTTGGAGGTATGCTGGGGAGTAGGGACAGCTGTGCTGCAGATGCAAGACTCCTTGTGCTAGGGTAGCTTTGTAGCCATGGGAGAATTCTCCCTCACCAGGAGGGTTCCTGAAACAGAATAATATCCCTCCCACCCCTGGCTGTCTATTCAACCAGCTGATTGGTGGGATGGGTAAGCAGCTATGCTGCTGCTGCAAGGCTTCTGGGGCTTGGACAGACTTGTAGCTTCAGGAGAAGTGCCCCCCCTATCCCTACATGCCTCCTGTTCCACCAATAGGCAGGAAAATGGCAGGAAACAGTTGTGCAGCAGATGCAAGACTCCTCTCATTGGGAAGCCTTGCTGCTGCAGCAGAATCCCCCTGCCTCCCCCTACACTGCTCTGCATTGGCCCAGAGGAGTGCAATAAATGGGAACTATTTTCCTGCAGGGGAAACTGGGAGGTTTCCCACCACAAAAAAATGCTTCCTTGGGCTCTGTGGCAGCAGTTGCTTTTCAGCAGCTGCCAACTACCAACTGACTGCCTTCCTACTTCCCAGGGAGGGAAGACTGTCAATTAATGGGGTTGACCCAGTAAGCACCCCCGTCCCCCATCATGAAGAAGCGAACCAAAACCAAAAAAAACCCTAAATTCCTGATTTCACAGAATAACAAGTAAAACTTTCTATCCACTATTTTCTCTCCCTTAAGGGATAAAATTTCTGAGGCTGCTCTTTGAATTAATATACAAAAATGTGGAATAGATATGACATGTGGGATGTTGGTAAAGAAAGCAAGCAGGAGAAATTAAATCTACTCTAGGCCTAAGGTAAGTAACAAAGAGATGAATATAGGAATAAAATAAAGGTGAAAAATAGGATAGAAAGAGTATATATTGATAGACAGGCACTGGCAGTTGAAATGGCTGCAATGGAGAGACATAGAAATACTTTATAAAATGATTAAACAACTAGCTGGAGATTTTAGTTACAGGAGGAAAGGTCCAATAAAAGATAAATAAGGAAAAGTCACTATTACTTTAAAGGAGAAAAGGAAGAGGAGGAGAACATTTTTCTAATAACCTTAACAGATCCCCACAAAAATAACATTTACATTTAATAACGGAGAAAAGATAGCGGAGCTTGATGTCTTCTGTGAAAAGAATATGTTGGTCAAATTTAAAGTAGCCACTGAAAGACTGAAAAAATAATATACCTTTAGGGAAAAAAAATCAAATCACAGCAGAATGTCTTAAGACAAATGGATAGATTGACAAAAACCTGTTATACCCATTTTGTTTGGAAAGGGAGAATGGAATTTTCCATTTATCTCAAAAGAATGGAAAATGGGCTCATAATAAAAATGTACAAAATAAAGATGGAGATTTGAAGGACAACTGGCACAGAACTATGCTGTTTTTAAATTTTCAAACATCTTAAATAGATTTAGTTTTGGTGTGATGTTGTAGACAATGGTCCAGGAAATATGTGAGGCAAGAATTTCTGTGGATATCTTTTATTGGATCAAATGCATGGCTGGTATAGATTTAGACAAGCTTTTAAATGCAGGGAATTCTTCTTCAGGTCCCTTTGCCTTCTATCCCAACTATGCAGTTGGTCTAATAAAAATATTACCCACAAAACTCCTTGCTTAAGTAAATTTAGAGATTTCACTGAGAGCAGATATAGAGGAAAAGTTCAGTTTCACCCAAGCTGGAAACAGAAAAGCCTTTCTTGTATATCTTAGTACCAATTTCTGGCCATCTAGTTGTTGGGGTACATTTTTTTTGAAATGCAGTTTTACTCTACACTGAACAGTATTCATAGAAATGATTGTTCTGTTTGCTGTTTCAACACACTTGGCTATAGAATGAATTCATACACGAATATAAACTAATTTGCATGGCAATATCTGCTTTACCTGCATAATATAGTTACATTCTAGAAGTTCCACTTTTGGATTAAGGTTTAACTTCATATATGTATATGTTGGTTCAAAGATTCTATCATATAAGTTTTGTAAAACATCAGCTTCTTGTGAAGAGCGTTTCTTCAGCCATGCCTGTGGGGGGGGAAAAAAAACCCACATCTATACACACAGTACAACAAAATAAAACTAGTAGGTAATGCTCTTCAGTCTTAGTCTTACTTGTAATATTGGTCTCCAGCTGAGGGCAGAGGAACTGATGTAGACCATGCCCATCCGAGAAACTGTTGCAGGAGAGGCATTCTCAATGTTGTGAACCTCAAATAACAACTTACAGGTAGGAGCCATAGGAATTCTATCACCATTAGCCAGAGTTAGTGTCTTATTATCATCCAAAACAGAATTTAGATTTTCAATCCAAATTGCATCTACTGGACCATCTAGAATCAAAAATATATTCTCACCTGGAAAAAATTGAAGGAGAAAGAATTGATATTTTACACCAAAATGGCTGTACAATACATTTAAAAGAAGATACTTTAAACACCTAAATCATCATATAAAATGATTTATCTATAGTGAATCTTATGTTCCAACAGTACTGCCTTTACAGTACTCCACTGTAGCAGCTGTACACCTCATCATTGGCAGCTGGGGGCAACATGCACATCTTCTGAGCCCTGTTACCCCAAAGATTTCTATATATAAATAGTTTACACCAGGAATTAGCAACATATGGCCCTCACATCCACAGAATCTAGTCTGCAGAGCTGGGAGGAAGCTGTGCCAGCACTGCAGCTGGAGTTCATACTGGGCTGCAGCAGGACAGGCTTTGTCCAAGCTGCAGCCAAGCAGCTGGGGGGAAAAGGTAGGGCTTTGCCCACACCATGACTGGGCAGTAGGGAGAAGCAGCAGCTACAGCAGTGGCCTGGGTTGGGAGCATAGGCCCACCATGAACTCTAGGAGGGTTGATCCAGCCTACTGCTCCAAAAGCTTGCCTAGCCCTGATTTACATCCTTTAGTAAAGTGGACTGCAATCCACATTGCTTGTGAGACCCTCTGAAATTAGAGCTACGGTATATAAAAAGTTGAGAGAGAGCAAAGTAGGGTATTGCCTACAGCACGCTACTTCCTCAGTACTATTACCCTGGTCTCTCATTTTTGCTCAGCTCCTAAAGCCATATAGAACTGGGCTCTGAATTAGAGGAAAAGGAAGAAAAGTGGCTTGCAAAAGCAATACAGTCAACATCAAAAGTTGGTTAATATAAAACACATCTTTCTCTTCTTTCTAGTATTGATTCCCAAGAGTTTCATTCTAAGGCTCCTGCCACGCATTATATATATTATGCAATTAACATGTTAATTGAACAATACATTTAGACTAGCCACATGTGCAAACTAATTAACATGCCATAAACATGTCTACCCATCTATAAAAGAGTCAAACAGCTACGAGTTAGTACTTGAAAATACATAACAACTTTATAGCTGGTTTCTATCCAGCTTTAATTTGAACATTTAGTAGGGCCTAAGGGTGTTTATACACATGCTTTGGGATTGTGGGGGTGGAGGGGTGCTTTAATCTGAGTTGCTCTGAAAGCCACTCTAATTAAAGCACCTGGAGCGTCATATGCATCAGCACCCCTACACTGAAAAATGGCAGTGGGGGCACTTTAACTAAAGATCACCGAATGCATGAGTTATAAACTTACCAGGGGGGACCAGTGGGGAATGGGAGAGACCCTGTTCACCCGAGGACCTTCCAGAGTAACAAGGAATAAGGAATAACAGCCATAAATTGTTTGAGAGTAGGTTCAGGCTGGACATTAGAAGACACTATTTCAAAGTCAGGGTGTCTAGGATCTGGAACCAACTTCCAAGGGAAGTAGTGCTGGCTCCTACCTTGGGGGTCTTTAAGAGGAGGCTTGACAATTACCTAGATGGGGTCATATGAGCCCAGTATTCTCTCCTGCCCAGGGCAGGGGGTCGGACTTGAAGATCTATCTAGGTCCCTTCCGACCCTACATCTATGAATCTACTATGTGAGCCACTGAAAATTATTTTTGTTAAACACACTGCAGCCCTCTGGAAGTACAACTAGCAAGTTTTCACCCTGAGCAAAGCCTTGCTGAGCAGGACTAGGAAAGGGCTTTTGGCTAAATCCTGCTCTGGAGAGAGGAAGGGGGTGGCCAAGCACTGGAGAGCAGGAGTGGGAGGGGGAACTCAAAGCCCCCAGTTGCTGCTGGTGTTGACTGGTGTGCCTGGCCCCAGCTCTTTCTGCTGTTGCTACCATTCCATCTGCCTTTGCTGCTATAGCTAAGACATGGGGTGGCTGATGCTTAGACTCCTTCCTGGATTCCTGAGACAGATGTTCAACCAATCTAAGTATGGAATCCTGATAAATAAAAACACATTTTGCTAATGTTACTTCGTAATTTGCTATTCTCATCTGTTAAATGAATACAGAATAGCCCTTTTGGCTGAAGGAACCAGCTTCTTATGCCATTGGTGTTTCAGCTTATGTCTCTCAGGATGTAAACAAATGCTGCATTTCTCCTGGGAGAAAGTATTTTGTCTTGGGATCCTATAGACAGACATATCCATTGTCTTCCTGCTTGCTTTAATTTCTTTTAAAGGGTAACTTAGACTCATTTTTGCAATACTCACTTTATTCCTACACTTTCTGACTGATAAGTTAAAGCAATCTTTGCTGATAAGTCCTTTTTCCTATTCCTTGTAGGATTTCTACTCCAATATTGGTTTTGAGGTGGTTACTTATCCACATGTTTGGAGCCCTTTCATACATTTTTTTTTTCCTCTTGACAGGAATGAAAAATCCAAATAATTTTTGCATTTTTGACTTAAAAACATACAATATTTCTTCACAGCAAAGTCATTGAGTTTTTCAGTCCAGTCGAATTCACTACCTAGTCCAGGGGCGGGCAATTATTTTGGGTGGAGGGCCACTTACTGAGTTTTGGCAAGCCATTGAGGGCTGCATGAGAGGCAGCCAGGGGCAGATAACTATTAATTTACTAAATTTTTTAGGGGCCCTGCGGGCCGGATAGAATGGCCTGGTGGGCTGCATCCAGCCTGTGGGCCACATTTTGCCCAGCCCTGACCTAGTCCCTTCATTTCTCCGTTTCTTCCATTTAGTTTAAAATGAATCAACTCACATTCTCAAGATCATTTTCCACGGCTGGCTTTTCTATAATACTCTTACTTTAACAAAACAACATCTAAACTATCATTATCTCTTGATTCAATGACAATTTAGTAAAATAACCAAAACCTGTCATTTATCACAGCCATAAATATTTATACCTTGCCATTATTCGTGGTATTGTTCACCAATCTATATCTAGGAAGTTAAGTAAAATATTTCTGCAATATTATCAGAGAAATCTCTAACTTCACTTCCTGACTTCCTAGACTTAACTTCTAACTTAACATCTTAGGGAAGGATGGTAAACGAAGTGCTACTGGTGTAGTGCTAGGAGTCTGTTGTAGATCCTAAGGTCAGATTTTGACACAAACAGAAATTTCTGTAATATTATTAAAGAAATCTCTTTCTATGTTAAAATTTCTCCCTAGGATCTACAGCAGACTCCCAGAACTACACCAATAGAACTTCTTTTACCATCCTTCCCTCGAGAGATTTTGACACACACTCATTCTGTTTAATTCATGTTATTTTTCACAATCTAGTTTAATGAACTATGTTAACCCTACCTTTATATTTTTTCTAATTCTAACATATACTTAAGTTCCTGAGTTTTAGACATGATTGCTAGTTATAGGTATACCTAACATTAGCCAATTTCACATCACAAGTGATGTAAAAGTAGTCTCAGTTCATCCATTTCGTTGCTGAGGCTGTTTGCATCAACACAAAATTTCAATTATTTTTTACTCATCACAACTAGTATCCTACAAATACTTAATTCAGTCTTTCTGTTAGCTGTATAGTTTATCCAAAAAATGTTTTAATCAATATTAGTACTTTCTTCCTCCTTGCTGTCTGCTCTCCTGCCTTCAGTATTCCTTTATCAATCATTGCATCTTAATTTCTCTGACTTACCTCTTTGTATGTATTAAAAGCAGACAGAAAATTTCTCCCATCCTTCTCCTCTTATTCTTTATTTCTCTCTCCATTTTTACTGATATGTGCAAAATGTCCAGAAGCTTACCTAGTCTACTCTGGACCATCCTTACTTGAGATTTCTACAATTGAAGCTATCCTCAAGACTCAGTCTTGAAGATGTTGATGTCTGGGAGCTACTGCTTCTTTTGGGGACAAAGACAATACAGTATAGCATCATGAATCCGGCATGCTCAGAACTGAGCACCTGCCGGAAATGTGACAATTCCAGATTTTTAAAACCAGAGCAGTGGCAGGTCCCAGAGTGGCAGGAGGAGGGGGAGGATAGCAGTGGCCATTCTCGGAGCAGTGGCCACATGCAGAGCAGTGACATGGGGTGGTGGATGGCAGCAGCAGGCGCCGCATGCAAACTTTCCCCTCTGCTGCTCCAGGACCAGCCGCTACTACTCCCCAAAGGAGTGTAGTTTTAAAAAGTGCAGGATTTTCAATAATTCTGAATTTTTGATGTATAGATTTATGAGGTTATACTGTACAAGACCATGGAAAGATTACCCAGTCACCTGAACATCTTGGTCAGATGGTGATTTCACAAACATAGCTGAGGAGAAAACAAAATGAACTTCTTGGAGGCTATGGAGTTGGTAACCTTGGTCCGGAACAGGTAGCTGATACCAGTTTTCTGTGATGGGGAATTCCTCATGCACCTCAAAATTCCAGGGAATTTAATAAGTACAGGGTGCTAGAAGCCAGCGTGGCATGTAACAAGAGTCTTTCTTTGGTCCTTGTTTGGTTATGGTTCAGAGTCTGGAATCGCTATCTGTTATGGGAGGTTTAGAAAGTACAGAAGTGTAACAGGGAACCCTAACCCTGTCATCAGAAAGCAGACCCGCCCCTTGAAGGCCAGAACTTTCTGGGCATGGAGTGCTGGTAAGGAAAGGGTTAAATGCTGAACCTGGCCAGCTAGTCACCTGACCGGAAGGGGCAGGACTATAAAAACCCTGGGCAGAGCAGCAGTAAGGGGAACAGCAGCTGAAGGGGAAGGAGTGCCTCCAAAAACTCCACAGAGAAGCTGGGTGAGTGGTCCAAGGGCAGGAACTACGAAGCTGTGGAGAGACGGCAGCTGCACCACAACAAGGACTGTAGCTAATGGTCGGGAGCTGAAGCACCAAGCCTGCAAATGTAAGCTGACCTGCTGCTTTGCTTGATGATATTGACTGGTGGCAGTTATTATTTTGTTTTTCTTTTTGATTATTGACTAAGACCGGTGGCTTGGGTGAGGTGATTAGGGGAAGGAGGAGGCCTCATAGGGGACCCACGGTAGTGTGGGGACCCCGGTGCCAGAGAGGGTGCAGCATTTGGGGTGCACTGACCCC